TTAAGATTAATAAAACAACGTGATAAGTCAATTGTATTTCGTAAACCGAAGAAATCTTCAAAATCATCTCCAGTATGGGAACATTTTTGTATTATTGTTGTAAATGATATTGAACAAGCATTTGTTTGTTGTGATCACTGCAAAGAGTTGTTAGTTTATCGTCAACGTGATGGTACAACGTCTATGACAAAACATAAACGTTCATGTCATGCTAGTTTAACAAGTTCAAGTAGCTGTTCAGATGGTCAATTAACAGTTATAGAATATTTTACATCGTCCAAAAGTCCTAATGTATCAAAAAACAATTAAAGATAAAATCAAATTGGCTTGTACTGAATTTACGGCATTAGATTGCCGACCTTTTGAATTAGTTACTGGTGAAGGATTTTTAAAAAAGGCACAAAGTATATTTGATGCTGGGCGATGTTTTAGTCATTTATCAAACACCAATGTTAAAGAGTTAATTCCATCTCCAATTACAATAGGGGAACCTATTTCTTGTTATGTGGATCAATTTTTATTTTTTGTTTATGTTTTTTGTGTTAGATTAGCCGCAATATAGATCGTTTATATGAAGAGAAGAAAGTTGATTTATTAAACTTATGTTCCAGTATGAGAAGTTATTGTATTATATGTGATTTTTGGACAGAAAAATTTACTAGTGAGTCGTCGTTTTAAGTCTTCTGTACGACAAAAGAAAAACGAAGAATCTGATTATCATTAATCATTTCGGAAGAAAATTAATGCAAATGCAAGTCTTTTAATTCTATATAGATAAGATTTCAAGATTTTGAGACAAGTATGGTTAGAAATGCAATTCTTTTTTCATTGATTGTTGTTAATGAACATAATCAATCTTTTATTATCTATGGAATTTGTTCCAATATATGGAAATTTGCTTGAAATATTATTTCAAATTAATGTCTTTAAACCTAAAACACTATTTTTGATAATTATGAACACGCATTGTCCTCAGCTCTCAATGAAAATTGATTGAATTTTTCAATATTAGTTTTTAGATAGATCATTGACTTTATCTAAAATTTGTTTAACAATAATTAGCTTGAGAAGAAAAAAAATATACGGTTTTTAAAGTCTTTGTTTCTTATTAATTTTTTAAGGCTTTTTAATTTTTTTTCAAAGCATTAAGTATTTTATTTTGTTTTAATTATTTATTATGGCACTTGTTTAGGCCTTTCTTATTGTGGTTTGGCATTACGTCATGTTACAAAAAATTTTAAATTACTAAACTATATTCTTGGATGCTTTTTATTTGATTCAGAATCACAGTCAGCTAGCAATATTCGTTCATTTGTTGATTCACAATTATTATCATTTGGACTGGTTTTAAATAGTAACATTTTTGTTGTCACAGACAACGAGAACAAAATGCGAGCTGCATTTAAAGAACAATGTATTCGTGTAGGATGTAGTATTCATTTCGTAAACAAACAATTAGAACATTCATTTACATCACTTGAAATTGATAAACAACCTATTAAATGTGATAAAGCACAATGTCTTTTTGGTCATGCCAAACGAATTGTTACACATGTGCGTCGATCACATCGACAAATAAAGCTAAAAGGAAAATTACAGTTATATTCGAATACACGCTTTAATGGTGCATTTTATATGTTAGAAGTATTTTTTGATGTTTATGATGAATTACCTGGTGTTATAAATAAAAATTTAATAGATTCTTTAGCTGCTATTGACAAAGATTTATTAGAAGAATTATGTGTTTTTTTGAAACTTTTCGATCAAGCTATTATTCAATTAAGTGATGAAGATAAACCAACTATACATCAAGTTATTCTAATTCGACAGTTATTAATTAATCATTGTGAAGTTAAATATGATGATAGTGATGGACTTAAGGCAATCAAATATTTTCTTGGTAAGTGAGCATTAAGAAATATTAACTAGATGGTTAACTTCAAGCTAAGTTTTTGTTTTGAAAAATCTTGATAAACCTTAGAGTTGTTGACATCAAAAAATTTATTTTGCAAAAACGTTTAGTTTATATTTTTTGATTGTAAACGTCGATCTTGCGAAAGAGATTTCGATTCAAATATTGACATTACTATTTTTTTAAGGTGAACGTATAAAATCAATATGGATTCCTCAAGATCAACATTATATGTCCAACTTACTTCATCCTTCGTTGAAACACTTTCATATAGCACCACATGAAAAAAGTAAAGCAATTAAATTAGTCAAACAAGAATTGTTGAAACGTACATCAATACCAGTAGTTGTCGCTGCTACTGATTCAAAAACAGGAACTTCAACTACATCAAGCACATTTAATACATCAACACCTGTTCCTTCAAACGATTTGTTAGGTCGTTGTTTTGATCAACCCCAACCTGTTGTTAAAGTAGTAGATGAATTAGATGATTATATGGCATTAGAAACACACCTTCATGAAACAGACGATGTGCTTTTATTCTGGAAAGAAAATGCTAAAACATTTCCAGTACTATCATCAATTGTACGTGATCTATTCGCAATACCTGCTTCTAATACAAGTGTTGAAAGGTTATTTTCTTCATCGAAAAATACTGTTACTGATAGAAGAACTAGTCTAGCTGCTGAAAAAGTTAATAAATTGTTGTTCCTTCAAAAGAATCTCTTTTCCTTAGCACAAATTAATGAAGAAACACAGATGCAAAAACAAGAACAGTCGAAAAGAAGATTATCAACAGTCGATGATGAACAGATGTTAGTCTTCAAAAACAGAGAGGATTTAACTTCAACAACATCAATAAAAAAAATTAAGAAAACTGATAGCAGTGATTTTTCATCTGATGATAACGAAGATATTATCAACAATATCATAGAATGAAATGAAATATTGTTTGCTTTATATATTTATTATGATTAAGAGACAGTGTTCGACATGAGGTCGCTACAATCAACGTAATTTTGACCCGACTCGAGTCAAATCACGTTGAATATAGCGACCTCATGTCGAACACTGGTCCGTATAAGGGCCTATTTTGGCCCCTTTTGATTTTTCTGACCAGGCCTAATTGAATCATATATAAAATGAAAGATCATGAATTCCTGATCATTTTGATGCCAAATTTGGGGTAGTTTGAGTGAATTATAGGTATGAACGGGCCTATCTTCATCACATACTAAATGGCTGAGATAGTGACTGCCACTCCCCAACAATGTTAGCATCCGTTTGAAAGAAAATTAATAGAGATAAATGGTGGTTTTTAGTTATTCTTATAGACCTTTGTTCATGCCACATTCTCATAATAGAACTATTTGTTTAAAATAATATTTTGATTTAACTGTACCAAATAGAAATCTTTTGATTACATACACTTTGCACCAGTGGCGTAGCTAGGGGTAGGCCATTGGGCAATTGCCCATATCTCCAAAAGTTATTGCCCATGGATTTATTGAGCTATGCAGTGCTTGAACAGTTATTGCCCATAGATATTTTTGAAATCATAACGGTTGCCCTTAGCTGCCCGTAACTCAAAATAGTTCGGCTGATGAATTGCCCATGACTCAAAAATTTCTGGCTACGCCACTGCTTTGCACTTATATAACGCATAGTATCATTTTTGTCGTTAGATTATTGAACTAATGACATGTTGATCAAAATTCTTTCACTTCCTGTTCGATAGAACTTTTGAAGCTCTACAAATCTATCTATTTTTCAGAACCTAAAAAAGTGGGCCACTTGACCAAATCCTAGCCACACTATTTTCAAGACCCTATTTCTGACATTTTTAACTAATATTTGATGGATTTTGGATGGAATGACCTTCATTCGACTTCAAATAAATGCCATATTTGGAATCAGCACAAAAAACTGAGTCGATCTATTAGTCTTCTAAATTGTTTCTGCGACCTTTTTTTTTCATCAAATTTTTACCCCGGGTCCCCCTCAGAGATATGCGAAAAAATGAAATTCGCCAAAACTAGTATTTTGTTCCTTATTTATGTTTCTTTTTGCGTTTAAAAAGAATTTCATAAGTTTAAAACAAGTTTTTCATTGTCCAAGTGGCTTTTTGACGAATTTCATTTTTTCGCATATACCTGAGGGGGATCCGGGTAAAAATTTGATGAAAAAAAAAGGTCGCAGAAACAATTTAGAAGACGTATAGATCGACTCAGTTTTTTGTGCTGATTCCAAATATGGCATTTATTTGAAGTCGAATGAAGGTCATTTCATCCAAAATCCATCGAATATTAGTTAAAAATGTCAGAAATAGGGTCTTGAAAATAGTGTGGCTAGGATTTGGTCAAGTGGTCCACTTTTTTAGGTTCTGAAAAATAGATAGTTTTGTAGAGCTTCAAAAGTTCTATCGAATAGGAAGTGAAAGAACTTTGGTCAACATGTCATTAATTCAATAATCTAACGACAAAAATGATACTATGCGTTATATAAGTGCAAATTGTATGTAATCAAAAGATTTCTATTTGGTATAGTTAAATCAAAATATTATTTTAAACAAATAGTTCTATTATGAGAATGTGGCATGAACAAAGGTCTATAAGAATAACTAAAAACCACCATTTATCTCTATTAATTTTCTTTCAAACGGATGCTAACATTGTTGGGGAGTGGCAGTCACTGTCTCAGCCATTTAGTATGTGGTGAAGATAGGCCCGTTCATACCTATAATTCACTCAAACTACCCCAAATTTGGCATCAAAATGATCAGGAATTCATGATCTTTCATTTTATATGTGATTCAATTAGGCCTGGCCAGTAAAATCAAAAGGGGCCAAAATAGGCCCTTATACGGACCGGTCCTTTTTCTCTGGACTTTTCCAGTGATTATCCTTCTAGTTGTTTTTCTCGTCAGTTGATGTTGAATCTTCCTCCCCGATGGTCACAAGTTGTTTTTCTCTTCCCTTATCTTTTCCCCCTTTCATATTGTTCTTCATTATTATATTATTATTATTATATGTTTATTGTTATATTCATATTAATAAACCTATATATATATATTCAACACACTCGTCTCATTATTAACATAACCAAAGTCAGTATGCTTATTTACTTTATTTACGTATGAACTCTCGTTCCCGTTGCAGACCGGGATTAAATGTACTGATCATCTAGCCAAAACCAATAGTGTGAGGCTAGAATCATAATTTCCCCAAACGAGAGTCTTACAATATTCAACAAGTTCTATTGTTTTTTTTTCTATTTTTTATAAGTTAATTTATAATTACTTTTTGAATAAAATGAACGACAACTCAAACATATTAAAAAAAAGTCATTATTTGTATGAAATCACTTTTTGGACCCGGACTCGGTTATAACAAACTTTCAGACCCGGACCCGGACCCGATAATAAAAAATCTTCAGACCCAAATCCGGACCCGTACCCGATCGGGTTCGGGTCCTACCCGACGGGCTCTAACCCAGACCCACTCCCACATCCGCCCCTACGCACTCACGCACAAGCACACGCAGACCCAGACCGACACCCCCAGCATAAAAAACAACTACAATACTCAAGGATAGATGTATAGATAAATATTATTTGTTGACGGTCATGCAGCAGTTCTGATGACTTACCTTTTCTTGTTTTTTTCGTATGACGCATGTGTGTTTCAGCTTAAAAGCAAAATATATTTATGGCCTTTGGCGAAAATCACGTGCTAAAAAATATATTTTTGGCGATGGAGGACGCTTCACAGATGAGGGCACGGACAAAATAAGTTGATCTCTTCACACTAAACAAGCCTTTATTCGACTTAAAGCACTGTATAGCTGTGTAAAGCGTCTCAGAATGATTTTGATGAAATGGGTGTGAATGTGGGTGTGTAGGGATGAAGCGTGAATGGCGGTCGTTCCCTAATCCACACCCACACTCCATACCGCAGCCACTCACCCACACGCCACCCACACCCTCAATATAACATATTTTTGATGTGAACTTTTCACTAACATAACGTTGAATTGCATTTCAGATTTTTGAATGACAAAATACAATTGCGAACTTATCGATTAGCGACTTGTTTCATCTGGATTTTAAAGTAACAGTCAAGTGTTTTAACGAATTAGTTCAGAAGATCATCCATCACCATACGCTTCAGTAGCACTCAAAGAATCTACTTTCTTGGGAGAAGCGCTTCTGGTTCGAAACATTGTTTATCTTGCAACACAATTGTATACACGGTCCATTTAACGGACACATGTCTGGAATGCAAATTCATCGTATTATGGAAGATTTGAAAAGTTTGCAAGAAAATATGGAGTCTGGATGGTCAGTTGAACTGTATTATCCGGAGGACTTGACAAGATTGAGACTATATATGAATGGTCCGATTGGAACTCCATATGAGAATGGGATTTTCCAGTTGATAGTCACTTTTCCTCTAGAATATCCTTTTAAACCTCCAGATATTTATTTTGTTACGAAAATTTTTCATCCAAATATTGATTGCGCTGGTAAAATATCAATTCACTTACCGGAATATTCACCAGCAAGGAGACTGCGCTATTGCTTGATGGAACTGATGAAACTCATCTGCAATCCACAGCCTGGCGAATTCATTTCCCAAGAAGCAGGCTATTTATTTACTAAAAATTATAGTGCATTCCGAGAACAAGCAGCGGTATGGACATTGAGATACGCCACCGGTGAAGAAATCATCTCCGTTGGATCTGTTTCTCCCACACCGAGTGAACTTGTAAGACGTTTGATGAATTGATCTACAATGTTTCTATTCTAGAGCTTATGTTTCATTAAAGATTCCGTCAACAACATGCTCTCCTAAGTCGTATCGGGCGTGCAGCCCTTCGAGACATCTGTGGATGTTTAAACGAATTTATGTTCCAGTTGAAGCATCGGATGAGTCCTGGCATCGGTATGACAGAAGTGAAGAGCTCACCCTTGAACGTTGTTACCGAGTGGGTGTACCATTCGTCGAGCTGAGTGAGAAATTAATCAGCCTCAGTTTGGGAGTGCAGACTGACGAGAATGGGAGTGTGTATCAAGTAAAAAGAAATATACCGAAGATGAAAAGGACTCGTCGACGATACAAAGATTTGGCTTTTTACAAAGACCAAAATGGTGAACAAGAGTTTTTCATCGACCATGTTTTATCATCGATCTACAAGGTTACCCTTGCTACAGTGGCTGACGGAATTCGATGTGAAGGAAAATTAAGAGACAGACAATGCGAAGCTGAGAAGTTAGTTAAACTCCTAGAAGAAATCGATGAAAGAGATACTAAGTTGATTGGTCTTCGATGCATTCACTTATATACTCGTGATTCATTTCTTTCATCCGCAGTAAATAAGTTTTTACGCACGAGAGATGAGTCCAAAATTAATACTTTGGGTCCTTTTTGTAAATTTCTCTTTTCTGCGTTTAATGAAAGTGAATGTAATGTTGCAAGTTTAGTGGTCTATCGTGGCGAACATCTTCGTGCAGCCAATCTACGTGCATATAAGCGTGCAACAGGCAAGGGCGTTTATCGATTGCTTGGGTTTACGTCCACAAGTAAAAGCAGAAGTTTCGCGGAAATACGGACACAGAATGCGTTATTGATAATTCGTCTTGAGAGATGGTACAACGATGAACGTGCAGTTGATATTGAAAAACTTTCCCAATTTTCAGAAGAACAGGAGGTTTTGTTGAGACCGGGTGTCGAATTTTCAATCAGTAAGTTCGAATACGATGAACATCGAAACATTTATCAGTTCTATATGACTGCTTACATATGACGTCGTTTTGTATAACTACTAGATTATGATACCATAATAAACGCGAATCTTTGTTGTAGGATGTTGTTGTCATTGTTACTGGGTGTGCGGTGTGGGTGGGTGTGGATGTGGATGCGAGTGTAGATGGGTCTTTT